AGTTCCATTGTGATTCTAGTCATTTTTTTAGTTTTCTGTTGCTTTTCATTTGCCTTTTTGCAATTCATGATTAGTAAAAATAACAAAATTTTACTTACAAATTAAAATCAGAAGAAATTTAACAAAGTTATAAACCGTGGCACCGTGAACGTCTAGTCTGGTCTAGTACACCGATAGTGCTACTTGTTTGTAGATGGTGCATATAATTAAGTCGTATACCAAGCAAAATTTGTTTCGTCCAAACAGGACATATTCTAAAGCAGATGTATACCGAGGTACCACTGTATATGCATATTATTATATGATATTCAACATGACCAAAAACCTTAATTTGAATTACACATGTTTTACTGAAATTTTATGGTATTTCTTATATCATTTGCTTCCAGTCTGTGTGATTACTGTCAAGATTTGTCATTTTCTCCATTGACTATTCTATAAATCATAAATCTTTATTTGTATACAAAACTTGGACACTGAGTCAAGTATCTTTTTTTCAAGGAAATTTTTATAGCTTTTTGTTTTCTACTGAATAAAGTTTTTCTTACAGTTGTTAGCTTTAGTTTTTACACAAAAAATAAAAAAATATTTTTTTTATTGTACAAGTTTTTAAATTTTCTTTCTCCTTTTAATGAAAATTCTATTTTTTAAGTTTACAGATTTAAAATGATTATTAATGTTTACTTTAAACTTAATATTTATAGTTAGAACCATAAGAAACTCTTTTTATTAAAAGACATTTAATAAAAGAATTGAAAAAAATTACATTTTGATCATTTCAACACTTAGTATCAATTTTTTCTGGAAATGAGAATGTTAGAGAAAATTAAGTAACAAATTATTCCCTATTAAACACTTTTGAGTAAAACTGATAAAATTTTGATAAGTTATTGGTCATGAAACTTATTCATTTATTTCTTATAAAACTTAACTTTTTTAAAGTAATTTAATGATATTGAAAAACATATCTATAAAACTAAACTGTTCTTATTATTGCTATATACTATACTGTGCAGATACTTTTATTTTATCTGTCAAATTTAATACTCAGTCTTTCCATACTTAAATATCAAGCAAAAGGTACTTTTCGGTTAACAGGACACCAACCATATGTACAGTAAAGAAGATTCAAGCTGTGAATAAGGGATTTCACACCACCCCCAGAATTGGTGATCCTTTGCAAGACATTCATCTCCAAAGGTCAGTTTTTAACACATACAGTCTAACACCTTTTCTACATGCTTCACATATAGATGTGTACTGTACCTCGGTGCTTGACCCCCGGCACTCAAGTGGGGTGAGCCCCCACACCCCCTAAACTATACTATCAAGTACTCTATGAACAGTCAAGTGGGCTACTCAAAGCTGGCAGTTGTATGAGCTAAACTGTTAAACACAATAGTATTCTGGTGTCCTGTTAACCAAAAAGAATCAAGCAAATTTTCAGTGTAGAAAATCTTTTTTATGTTTTCAATTTTTTTTTACGTTTCACAAATGTGATATCTAAAAAAATTTCTAAGATTATTAATAAATGAAAAAAATTTTAATATTTTGTAATAATAAAAAGAGAAATAATCAAAAATAATATACAGGATAACTGCAGACATAAGTATAAATAATTTATATATAAATTAGCTGCTAAGACCCGCTTTGCTGGGCTTTTATTTGTATGTAATATAGTTTTTTTTTATATATATAAAAGACTGTTTTTATAAGTAATCTAGAATCTAGCTGCAAGGACCCGCTTCGCTGGGTTTTATTTGTGGGCAAAAAGTAACGATAGTGAAGATTAAGATAATTACATTATAGCCAATCTTACTCGTTTTCACAGAATGCAAGAATTAGGTCCCCCGTTTCCAGACTAATTAGAGAATTTTTACGTCCAGTNCGAGGATTCTCCAACGATAGAACTGTACGTGTGCTGATCTTTGTAATTATAAATTGTGAATACATGTGACTAATATTATTTTCTTTTTTATTTTGTGCATGTTATAAGTTATAAATAAATATAAACAAACAACACTCACCCAATAACATTAAATCTAAATACCAATATGATTAATTTACTGTGTTTTTGTTATTTCTTACTCCTGTTTTTAGGTATTCGGTATTCGGCCGAATAGTGATTAAATATTCGGTATTCGGTCGAATAGCGAAAAATAGTCCGAATAGGCCGAATACCGAATAGTAACCGAATATTCGTTACATCACTAATACTTATGTATGTTTATTTTATAAATTAGATTTACAATATAAGATTAATACTAATCTAACGTAAGAAAAATAGCATAATTATTATTTTTATTCTACACTTACATTTGGATCAAATTTCAAAGTTGGAGCAGTTATAAATGCTGCTTTACCATTAGAAAGTACTATTGAAAATCCACCTATTAATGGCGAGTATTCAAATGTTTTTACAAATAAACCAGTTTCTTCTAATGGTAATGCTAAAAAAAATAATAATAATTTTAAAGTAAGTAAATACTATTAAAAAATATGATTAAGATAATGAAATGTATATGATGATAGTTACTTTCTAAAAGTTTATATTTCAACAGACTACTGTATAAATGTATTTTGAATTGAAAGTTTTTGATAATTTCAAAAATTATAAAATTATTTTTCCTTATTGTATAAACAAACATAATTTACAAAAAGTGAATTACCTCTTGAAAGTTGTTGATCAGCACAAAAAGGAATCCTAAGAAGATTTAAACAGTAATCACGATTCAATGTCCCATCCCAATGAACCCTCCAAATATGTCCATTTGTAGTAGAAACCATTAATTCATCGCGTATACACACTAAGCTTTAAGAGAAAATAAAAGTTTTAAAATATCCATATTATGAAAATTATATATTGCAATATTTAACTAATAATTTAATAATTAGTTAGTAACAGTTAGTAAATAAAACATTAAGGATCAATATTAAGTTTCCTCATACAAACATTTTCATAGCTACATTATGAAATACTACTTATAAAATTTAAAAATTATTTTATTTTTTAACAACAGATAACAGTAACATTATATGAGTAGTGAGATAACTAACTAGAAATGCAAATACATTAAAATATAATTCTAGCAAACAAAGCCCAAAACCTGTACTAAATTCTAATAAATAAGAGAATTAACATAACAGGAAAATTAACAGATAATGAGGAAAAAAATTACATATTTTGTTTGGTTGATTTAGATACAGTAAACCCATAGATTGCACATATTATAAAAATTATTACATATACTACATATGCAGATTGAAGCAATGAAATTATATCAATGACAGGAAAACAAATTAATTATAATTTTCTTTTATTTCTAGATCATCATCATATAATTTTCTTTTATACTTACATTATCTATATATCAAGATAGACATATTCACAAATTTAATTTCTAAAAGCAATAATTTTAAAAATTTAAAATAATTAGAATTTCTTGAATATAAGTATGTAATTCAAATTTAACTTCAATATATAAAAAACAAAACTGAAAATTTGATATTAATTTCTTTTTCTAAGATTATCAGATGATTCTGATTGTTATTTCATAGTTTTTATTTGGATAATTTTTTATTGTAATGGCTGAGAATGTCTCTTTTCATCCAGTGGGCAATTTTATAAATAAATAAATAAAAGATTAATTTTTTGAAGTAAAATAATATTGTATTGTTGAACTGACAAAAGAGACTGTCATTGACATTTGTTTTGAAATTTCAGTACAATATTCCATTGTAAACAGAATTATAGTATTTTTTATTGGATATTAACTGTTTTCTATAAAAACATTTGTTTCAATATGATTGGCGTATACATTACAGGAACTTAAACTTAAGAAGAAGTAATGTAATTATAACCTATAGATATAGATATAGCCTATGTCATTAAATTTATTTAAATAATTAAGGACAAAATGTTAAATGTAACATATTGGATTTTATATTACATTTAATATAATAAGAGAATAGAGAATAAATTTGAATAGACATATACAAAAACATTTAAGATGATTTAATTACCATATGTAATGAAGATAACTTTTAATTTTACAATTTATATGACAGTAAATTTTTTTATCTACTATTTTTAAATGTTTATATTACCTTGTTATATTTCCTGGTACATTAGCAGAAAAGGCTTGAATAAATAAAAGGGGCGGAATTTTCTCTTTAATAAAAAGCTCTGCACTTTCTCGCTTCAAACTAGCAACTCTAATAAAATAATATTAATATTTTAGTTATTTTACAATTATTTCAATTTGAATTAAAATTGATAAAAATTATATTTTTTCTGGATTAAAACAATAATAATTTAATAAAAGTAAAATATATTTTTTAAACTTTATTAGACAACTAAGGCAGTTAAAGGTGTCAGCCTAACACTCTGGTGGACCCAAGACTGAATCTGAGAAACAAGTCTCAGGAATTTTTTTTATTGATCCTGGATATGTTGACTCCATCCCTCACTACGCTGTCATACCCATTGTTGATCTTACCAAATGCACGATGGGCATGGGGAATAGAGCAGAAAGTGTTAAAATATGTTATAAAATTAATAACATTTTATATTAATAAAAAATATAAATAAGAATAAGAAAACAGTTATAAAATAAGAAAATTATTAGCTTGCCATTTTATATAATAAATAAATAAATAAATAAATAATATAAATATATAAATAAATAAAATACAAGTCACTGCTTATTTCAAGAAGGCAATACTTTTTATTAAGCAAAAAAAACATTTTTGGCCTGTTAAATATCTGACCATCCTCAGCATAATTCTATCTATTTAATAGTTTAGAATGATATATATTAGGTATCCCTCATACAAAACAGCACTTCTATAACATGGTTCGAAAATTGGGGATATCCCTGTACAACATGACTTCTGGTTTTGCTCTAACACAGTTAAAGAATTTGGAAAATCCTCCATACAAAATTTCACAATTTTTAAGTACAAATTCAGTTATTTGATATTTTTTTTCTTCAAATAAGCATATGTGTTGTCTCAAATTTGTCCATGGATTTTAAAATATTGAAATTTTTGGTTTGTTTTATGCTTTTTGTCAGGTTAACTTTAATGAAAAGTTGATTGCAATTTTTTCTTTCTTATCAATCAGGTGTCATTGTCATTGCTTTCAGACTTGAGCATTAAAGACTGTCACTGNAAATTTAACTTCAATATATAAAAAACAAAACTGAAAATTTGATATTAATTTCTTTTTCTAAGATTATCAGATGATTCTGATTGTTATTTCATAGTTTTTATTTGGATAATTTTTTATTGTAATGGCTGAGAATGTCTCTTTTCATCCAGTGGGCAATTTTATAAATAAATAAATAAAAGATTAATTTTTTGAAGTAAAATAATATTGTATTGTTGAACTGACAAAAGAGACTGTCATTGACATTTGTTTTGAAATTTCAGTACAATATTCCATTGTAAACAGAATTATAGTATTTTTTATTGGATATTAACTGTTTTCTATAAAAACATTTGTTTCAATATGATTGGCGTATACATTACAGGAACTTAAACTTAAGAAGAAGTAATGTAATTATAACCTATAGATATAGATATAGCCTATGTCATTAAATTTATTTAAATAATTAAGGACAAAATGTTAAATGTAACATATTGGATTTTATATTACATTTAATATAATAAGAGAATAGAGAATAAATTTGAATAGACATATACAAAAACATTTAAGATGATTTAATTACCATATGTAATGAAGATAACTTTTAATTTTACAATTTATATGACAGTAAATTTTTTTATCTACTATTTTTAAATGTTTATATTACCTTGTTATATTTCCTGGTACATTAGCAGAAAAGGCTTGAATAAATAAAAGGGGCGGAATTTTCTCTTTAATAAAAAGCTCTGCACTTTCTCGCTTCAAACTAGCAACTCTAATAAAATAATATTAATATTTTAGTTATTTTACAATTATTTCAATTTGAATTAAAATTGATAAAAATTATATTTTTTCTGGATTAAAACAATAATAATTTAATAAAAGTAAAATATATTTTTTAAACTTTATTAGACAACTAAGGCAGTTAAAGGTGTCAGCCTAACACTCTGGTGGACCCAAGACTGAATCTGAGAAACAAGTCTCAGGAATTTTTTTTATTGATCCTGGATATGTTGACTCCATCCCTCACTACGCTGTCATACCCATTGTTGATCTTACCAAATGCACGATGGGCATGGGGAATAGAGCAGAAAGTGTTAAAATATGTTATAAAATTAATAACATTTTATATTAATAAAAAATATAAATAAGAATAAGAAAACAGTTATAAAATAAGAAAATTATTAGCTTGCCATTTTATATAATAAATAAATAAATAAATAAATAATATAAATATATAAATAAATAAAATACAAGTCACTGCTTATTTCAAGGCAATACTTTTTATTAAGCAAAAAGAACATTTTTGGCTTGTTAAATATCTGACCATCCTCAGCATAATTCTATCTATTTAATAGTTTAGAATGATATATATTAGGTATCCCTCATACAAAACAGCACTTCTATAACATGGTTCGAAAATTGGGGATATCCCTGTACAACATGACTTCTGGTTTTGCTCTAACACAGTTAAAGAATTTGGAAAATCCTCCATACAAAATTTCACAATTTTTAAGTACAAATTCAGTTATTTGATATTTTTTTTCTTCAAATAAGCATATGTGTTGTCTCAAATTTGTCCATGGATTTTAAAATATTGAAATTTTTGGTTTGTTTTATGCTTTTTGTCAGGTTAACTTTAATGAAAAGTTGATTGCAATTTTTTCTTTCTTATCAATCAGGTGTCATTGTCATTGCTTTCAGACTTGAGCATTTAAGACTGTCATTGTGTTTTGGTTTAATAGATTAATCTTTGTATTTAGTAAAGTTTATTTAAATATTTTTAGGTAAGTGTTATTAAACTTTTTTAACTGTAGGTAAGTAATCATTTGTAAAAATTACAAAATATAGCAGTCTTGGTACTCAAACTGTTCCAAACTCAAACAATTAGGTATGCTAACACAAATTCTGAAAGAAAAAATTGCTCAGTACTCGACTAAACAAACGTGACTCACTAGAACAAATTTTCGATTAATTACATATTTTTATTTCATCACCCACAAAAAATTTTTATGATAAAAATTAAAAAAATTGAAGATGTTGCTGATATTTCTTACTTACTAAGACCAACAAAAAAGCTCAGATGATGACAATACTTTGTAAAAAAACAAAAAAATGACCTCATTTAACTAAAATCAATAATAACGCATAATACAGTACAGTAGAGCCTCGAAAACTCGGCCTAATGTGAACCGAAGGGTGGCCGAGTTTGTGAAAATGCCGGGTTATCGGGAATGGGGTTAAAAAAGGATAAGTATGCGTGTTTCCTCAGAAAATATTGTACTGTACTTGTATGTATTGTTTGCTTGAGAATACAACAGAGAATAAACTGCCCAAATACCCTTAAACAAAGGAAAAGTATGTACTTTATGAAGGCATAGAGCCTTTACTACATGAAAATGAAAATTAATGAATACACTGTGTACAGTAATTTACCTGATAAGACAGACCTCAGAAAAATACTTT